AGTACTCAACAATACCCAAGCATGAGTACTCAAAGTCGTACTCAGAGTACTTGTTACTCACTCATGAGTACTCAGGTGAGTACTCATTGAGTAAAAAAATGTATGAGTACGTATGAGTACTCGTCCGATTTTTCTATCAGAGTACTTTTTGAGTACTCACACTTGAGTACATTCACTAGGGCTGTGACAAAGTTTGAGCAGTGTTCTACGTAACTCAGGCGTCGTTTATGTCAGATGGCTCTTAAGTGCAGCATAGAATGAAGATGGTCATATGATGCAAATACATATCCTTTACGCATAAAGTTAGAAACTGGTGCTAAAAGGACTATTTTCTAGTAGTGAGTGTAGTAAGTCATAGGTCTGGCTTGGAAACAGGAAGGAACTTTCTGTTTTCTCACCAGCTGACTGTATTTCTTTAAATGTTTCCATTCGAGACAAAACTTGATGACGCCACGCCCCTTTCATGATTCTTACTTACAAAAATTTTCATAGTTATAAATAGCTCATATATTAAAGATTACGTACTTAGTGTTGATGGTGTATTATAAACACTGCATGTATTATTTAAACATCTTAAACTTAAGTCTGTTCTACACCAATTACTCGTGGCACACCACGACCCATTATACAGTTGATTCATGCAAATCGTACCATTCCAGAATGTGACTGGAGGACATTGATAGGTACCGTCGACACATGCCAAATATCGATTTGGCGAATACTGACCAGTACATGTTCTGTTGTATTCTAAAAATAATTCAGGACCATATACTAAACTACCCACTTTTGACGTTGGTAATGACCGTATAATTTGATCGGTATTTTGTAAACTTTGGAATAGTCTGCATCTAAACGGTGGTGTTAAATCATAGTCAAATGTACGACATGAGACACTTGAAGTACAATAGCTGATACATTTTATTAATGTTTTAGTCTGTGTATACGTAGCAAGCAATTCAAATGAATTAGCCGGTAGAAATTCTGTGCCTTCCAAATGTGTCATCTCTGCTTGTGATTGATATATTTGTAACTGTGTTGGTACAATTTCACAAAAGAATAACAGGCACAAGAACATAGACAGGTGCATCCTTTGACGTTCTAAAAACTCTAACATGTACCGAATAAGGAATAGAATTATCACACTAACAAAAATTCCATTATCTCGGGCATAGAAGTATTTTCTTTTTCAAAATTAAAAGCAAATAAAAACATTTGATTGAATTTATGTATCTTTTGTTCTCTTTTTTCCGAACAGAAAAACTTTTAGTCAACAATAGTCGGAATCATCCGCAATCTGGAATTGCGTTAGTCGGCAAAACTCACCGTCCTCTATAAATACGTGAAAAGGACATTTGAATAAATGAAATAAAGAAAAATGTTCCAAAGAGATTGTCACATTAAAAGATACATGCCTTCTAATCTGTCATGAGTTTTAAAGATTTTAGAGGAGTCTTGTATTGCGTCCTAAAAAAATTGCGTGTACTCAATTTTTATATTTCTATTATCCTGGAGTCGACATTCTCACCTTCATACCCTTTTCCAGTAGAAATAGTAGCCTCATTTGCTTGAATATTCATCGTATCCATCAATGATGGTTGAGAAAGGGCTTTAGCGTTATTGTCGTCAGTTGTATCAGTGGACATTTGGAAGTTGTGATTTAAAGCAGACTTTAAAAGTCTTGTTACGGTTCTCTATAAAGAAAAAAATGTTATTTCCAGCTAGAATTACATATTTTATGAGGATACCCAAGTAGACAAACATTTGGAAAAACGCGTTTAAACGCTCAAAAGGGAACCACGATTGTGAGTCAGTAACGCTCATTAAAAAAACGCAAGAAACGTGTTTTTTGCGCAAAATTTTCACTTTCAGACCGCGAAAACGGCGAAAACTCCAGTTTTTGAGCGTTAAAACTCATTGTTTTTAAATTCTGGAATAAAAGCG